AGGGAAACTCTATTATGTTGTGCGCAAGGAAGTGGTGAACATGAAAGAACTAATTATCGCATACACGGTTCACAAAGGCTTTGAGTGTGAGCCATAAGCTACGCATTCGTGTTTTCTGAAGTGACAATTGGGGGGAAGCGGTCGTCTAAAATTGAAGGACCCTTGATGATGCATAGCGAAAGTTGTTGCATTAGAAATGTTAAAGTTAATTTTCCACATGATTTGCACAAACATCAGTCATATAGGCTATCATATTTGGACATTCGCGTATTAATTTCGTCACGATTAGAATTCAAGTGAATGTGTTTTTATCTGGCCCCATCTAAAAGCAGTCGACAATAGAAACAGTTATAACTTTAACAATCGGTCATATGTTCAACCTACAGAAAACGATATTAGCGCAAACGCATTGCTGTTGAAATGTTTACCTTAAAGTTAAATGAAACGTGTTTTGGCAGGGACTGAGCTACATTGTACTCAGTTCCGAGAAAAAAAAAACACGATTTGACAAGCGTCAAAAGCAAACCAAGCGAAGTCATTTCAGATTACTTTAGAGATCCTAAAAAAAATGATACAGTTACAGTTACAGTTATGTACAGTTACGTTGTTATTGTTGTGTCCGGATACTGGGCCAGCTGTCCGGATACTAGGCAACATAGGAGCTCTGCAAAAATATTAATTTCGCGATGGAAACAAAGGCTAAAAACTGTCTTTCGTCATATTAAGGACTAGATAGATTTTCTCTGGGCCAAATTTCAGAGCTCTTACGATTAACAAAGGAAAGTTATTGCAATCTTAAACTGAAGTGTCTGGATACTGGGCAACATACTGTACGATCCGTTCTTATGGGTAAAAGCCATAGGTCTGATTATTAATTGCTCTTTTAAATCGATGTATATTCATACACTCTTCTGAACTCACAACGCACTGGAATTTCTATGTTATAATAATATCCCTGCTATCCATACACTCCATGCGTGTCCAATTGTATTGAATTATAATTAATAGACAGGTCTGAGGTCTGAATTACATAAATAACATTGAATATGTTTACAACATACACCGATCAGAAGCCACGTACCTGAAGAATGTTAAAACATCCTATGTAAAAAGTCTGTTAAAAATACATTGTGCATCTTGGGGGGAAGGGGGTGGGGGGGGGGAAATCCCTATGATGGCCTATACGAGGAGGCTCCGCCCAAAAGGGGTATCTTCAGTTTAGGCTTAAGGTATATGAAAGGGTAGGCATTTCACTGGTTGAAGTATATTTAACAGTTATTCCCGAGTGGGCTATTGACTTAGAGGCCATGGGGGCGAGAGGAATAATTGGTTTAGTAAAATCCAACTAGTTGGTCAAGAATATCGAGACAAAACAACTTTAGCATGCAAAACGCGATTCAGCCGCTATTGTTTTTCGTTTTCAAATTAAGCGCTTTTCTCTACAAGTGGGCCATAACATATAGCCTAGTAGTAGCTCAACCAATCAGAACGCAGCATTGATAATATACCACTGGTTGCATTTTACTAAAAAAAGATAGGGAAATTTGTCATTTGGGTCTGTAAAACGGCCCAAAGGGGCTAATTTTTTATACCTATTTTAAAAAACACAATGCATTTACAGCATCTGAAAAGGGTGCAAAGTTCTCAAGGGGTTTAAGGCCTGGGTCAGTGGTGTTTTCGGAGCGTATGAATGATTGGCGGTATCTCTCGCTAAGAGACCTAGAACAAAATGAATTTTTTCCAAAAGTAAATCTTAAGGTCTTCTTATACCTTAACGTTTAATTATGGTCACGTGACATGCCACGTGACCAAAAATTAAAAGTGAAGGAAATTGGCGAATTGGTGGCGAACTTACTTTACTTTTGTTTAGATCCCATCGGCCGTAGCCCCTTTCTCCCCTTACGAAATTTACACAAGGTAGAACTGTTTTCTGTTTTTATATTACACTTAGATGATATTTTAAGCTGGAAATGTTCATGAAAGTGTAAGTCTCTTCAGTTTGAAAGAAAAAAAAACTGTTACGAAGAAGGGAAGACTTGATCCCACGACCTAGAAAACCTAGTATACCACGCTAATCACTAGACCACTGCGGATTTGATGGATGGAGAGGAAATAATTTAAGTACATAGATCATCAACCCCAACCCAAAAAAAGAACCTAACCAGTTTCGAAACAGTGCTTAACCCTAATCAGTAAAAGCAGTGCTTAACAATAATCAGTAAAGGCAGTGCTTAATCCACATACATAACGAGGAAAACTACGTTGTGTGAATTTCATGAGGTGTCCGAAGGGATTACGGTGGATGGGATCTAATGATATATCGAGCTAGTATAGTCAAACCCCGTTAATAACGACACTAAGGGGGCGTGTGAAGACCACGTGCGTAGTACCAAAATATCGATCATGCCAGCGCTTCGCACCTTGCAAAATCAATTTGAGAAAAGTACGACTGTTTTGCAGTCTAAGAGGTCTATTGACAAAATACAGTGATTTGTATGAAATTTTATCTCAAGCTCGTTTCATTGGAATAGAACAATGGAATGCAGAAAGCTTTATGAATTGTTCAGAGTCGCCTGCTTACCGAGTATACCCTGGGGATGAGTATAAAATACACTTAGGGAGTGGGGGAAGGTTAAACCTAACGCCTACCACCTCGGTACATTTTAAAACCAAGATGGCCGCCCGTAACGGTAGGTGCTCGGTCTCGACAATCCCCACGGGAGAATAGGGAACTGTGAACAGTCTAAAAGGTCTATTGGTAGCAGATCCTCTTCAGTCGTGATCTGTACCGGGATAAGATCAGGAACTTCTGCAGTCAAATCCTGCTTTACGGACACCCGCTCAATACGGACACCTCGTTATTACGGACAGTTTGGCTGATGCACGATATACCAAGTGAATAGCAAGTCTCGAGTTACGTCACAAAGAACACAACAATGATCCCTAGCCCTTACGCAATAACACAATAAACTTCACACAATAGAACGAGACAATAGTGCATATATTGACTTGGTATATCGAGCATCACCCGACAGTTTGCTTTGTCCCTGGGGAAAGAAAGCCCCTACATTTTCTCTAAAGGAAAAGGAATGGGGGAGATATCTATCTTGAAGTCGTGCCACAGGCCTTCCATTCGAAATGTTCGAGGTATCGTGATGTCACGCGCGCTACTTGATCTCATACCGGGCATGCGGGTATCTTATCTACACACCTAGCCTCATGCTCAGTAGATTTCTGTTAGTCTTAAAGATGTCAGTACTCGATATAATTAGAAAAACTGTCTCATTCCAAGGCTTCTCAAGTGTGTTTGGAGAACGGAAAACGCAAGTGCGGCCGATAGTATCGCGCGGTGGACCATGAATGAATAAATGAAAGAATTAAGAGTCGTGGATGAGAGGACAACAGTCATGCCCTCCTACATTATATTTTAACATGTGAATAGTAAGTTCGGACGTTAGCATACAAAGGCCCCACTGGCAGCCGCTCTCAGTCCATTTATGATCTTATTGTACCCACCCAAGCCATGATGTAAATGATGTGATGTGTGTAGGGTTTACGTCCCCTACTCATTTCTTTTAAGTCCCACAAGAACCAGATAAGTGTAATTGCTGTGAGACGGGACCTACAGTTTTTCGTCCTTATCCGAGAAGACTAGAAAGTCTTTAACTGTTTGCAGATGTCATTACAAAGGCAGCACTGTCTTCCCAGTTATTTAAAGACCCTGAGTGTTGGTCCGGCCGGTGTTCGAACCCGCGACCTCCCGCTCAGCAGACCGGCGGTCTCCCAACTGAGCCAACCAGGCGGCGGTTAATTTAAGAACTGTGTTAAATAGCAAGACCAGTTTCGGAAATCTAAAATGGTTTCCTTCGTCAGTTGCTATAACAGCTAGTTGCTCGTGTGGTTGCGCGCAAAAGAAATTAGGAAGGGTATAGGAACGTTAAGCGTTTACGCAAAGGACGCTGCGAAGGGTAAGCGAGAAAATGAGATAAATCAGTGTCTTGGTGACCTGCCTACTCGTAAGATACTAAATAACAGCAAGACAAACCGCTGTGAATTTAAACCACGGTAACTTGTCCATAAAATAAATAAACCCTTAGCTTTTTTGACCAAGCTTGTTCGGTCAAGATAACTGGATATTGGCGTCGTTCTTTTTTCATTTGCCTCGGCTTCGTCTCTGTAAACAAAATGCTAGACTTGCTACAAGTCGACCACTCATAAGTTCTTAAAAGTGAACAAAGCAAGCTTCAATGCATTAGGTCGCGCAGCAAGCGACGAAGTCTCATGGCATAACCAACCAGGAAAAAATAAACCCATTACCTCGTCCAAGTGAAGTCAAACTATTTTTGAGCCTTTTTCATCATCGTTTAGTAAAATCTGACTCTGAAGAGTTTGGATTAATTTAGGTTTCTGGGAAACTGCCCACCTACCCCTCCCCTAAGCTAACATTAACACTTACTTCTCACTTTAGGGCAAAATGATGGCTTAGGGGAGGGGTAGGTAGGCAGTTTCCCAGAAACCTAAATTGATCCATAAGTTTTTCGGCAAAAATACGTTTATAAACTCTTGTTGTTCCATTGAAAACGGTACCCGTTTTGAGACTCTAATGAGCTGATCCGTTTTCATGAGACCAAAACGGCTAAAAAAACCATACCGTTTGTAGTACACACCTTTATATAGGTTACAAAGGGTATTACCCCGGGTATGTTGTCACTAATTGCAGAGAAAATCTTTCCCCAAAGATTGAAGCATCAGACGTACATCAAGTATGGTATCTTCAAAAGAATATACCGAGCAACAGCTAAACTATTACATAATTTGTTACCCAACTACTTATATACTAGCAAATTTGGGTTTTGGTCATGCCCTGACATGCTTGTGTTGAGAAGTCAATGTGTTTACTTCATACACCGCGTTATCTACGTCACTGATAATTTTCCCCCTCTGCGCTAATTTGCTAACTGCAGGATTCATTTTCCCAAAAGGTTCCAAGCATCACAGGTGCATCAAATGTGGCCTCTTTAAACGAATATACCGATGAACAGCTAAACTATTACAGAATTTGTTGTGTAACTACTGATATACTAGCGGAGGGTCTGAGAGAAATATTTAAACAAGAATGGGACAAACTGTACAAAACAACAAAAGGAGAATGGAAAGACGAACCTCGTAATGGAACGGACTTTTTTAACGGAGAGTCTCCTCGAAAACAAAAAAGAAACGCTCGTCTTTTGGCCACTATGAAAAACGGAAACAGTGAGGAATGGGACTGCACAATGCTATTTTACGCCATCCAGCTAGCTGGCCTCATAGCTGAGAGATTCTTTGACAACCTCATAGAAATGCCAGGCGGGTCTTCATTTGTAATGACCTTAAATGCTGCAAGTCCAGATTCACTTCTGGAGTCGTATGCCTCATTTGCTCGCCATTTAAAGTGCCCAGAGTATTCAGTTATGGAAACCCTCAGCTCAAAGGATTCGACCGTGGACGAAAAGATCACTAGTCTTAAGATGCTTGTCGCTGTAAAAATTAAGTGTTACACGTCGTGGCTTCTGGTGGTTGACAATGTCACTACTCTGTCTTCAGTGCATGTCCATTTACCACAGTTTAAAAACGAGGCGTGGGCAAGGGGCCAGTTAGTGATTACGACCCAGGACACCACATCAATTCCCTCAGAAAGCTCTTTTGTTAATCACATCTCGGCAAGCAAAGGTATGGAGCCCAATGACGCCCGTTCATTATTGTCCAAGCTTTCTGGTATCCCAGATAGCGAACTGGTGGGAACAGTAGCACAAAGACTGGACTATCAACCTCTTGCTTTAGCAGGCGCTGCCGTCTTTGTTAAAGAGATTCGGCAGGACAATGTATCGAGGCATTTTGGGTGGGAGGAATACCTGAAGATCTTAGAAAAAGGCAAAAGACAGAAAACGGAGGATACACTTGTTGACACCAATCCAGTTTATCCAAATTCAATGACCAAAACAATAACGTTAGCCGTCGAGACACTGATGAGATCCGACAAATTTCAAAAACACCTTTTCACTTTTCTTGCCCTCTGCGCTCCACGACCATTGAACGTCGACATAGCAGTTAGTTACATCATGAACGCACATGAAGAGTTTGATGAGGGGGACAAGGAACTAATTCGCATGAGACTAAAAAGAAGCTCACTTCTGCTGTTCCAAGATGAAGAGGGTTGCTGTTTTCTTCGGCTTCACCAGGTTGTGCATGATGCTATAAAAACTGTAACAAAAGAGTGTCCAGAAAGTCAAACCGATGAGGTCGTTAGTGGGGTCATTACATCATCTAACGAATTTATCGTCGCAATTCCACCAGAGAATGAGCGACTAAACACCAGACACATCGTTCCACATTTGAAAGCTTTAATTATAGTAACTGACATGTTGTTTTTGCAAGATAACTTCTTTCAAGTTCATGATAAGGAGATTTCCGAAAAATGTGAAAACCTTGGAAAAATTTGTCAAATGCACTGTGAATTCGAAGGCGCAAAAACATATTTTCAATATTCACTTAATTTTAAACTTCAAGAGCTCGGCCCGGAGCATGTTGATGTTGCAACAAGCTATGGTAACTTAGCTTCGATTTACCAGCATTTAGGTGACTCTGAGCAAGCCAAGGAGTATCAGCAACGTGCTCTGGACATGAAACTGGACAAGCTCGGCCCGGAACATGTTAATGTTGCAATAAGCTATAATAACTTAGCTTTGATTTACCAGCATTTAGGTGACTTTGAGCAAGCCAAGGAGTATCAGCAACGTGCTCTGGACATGAAACTGGACAAACTCGGCCCGGAACATGTTAGTGTTGCAACAAGCTATAATAACTTAGCTTCGATTTACCAGCATTTAGGTGACTTTGAGCAAGCCAAGGAGTATCAGCAACGTGCTCTGGACATGAAACTGGACAAACTCGGCCCGGAACATGTTAGTGTTGCAACAAGCTATAATAACTTAGCTTTGATTTACCAGCATTTAGGTGACTTTGAGCAAGCCAAGGAGTATCAGCAACGTGCTTTAGACATCCAACTAAAGAAGCTAGGCTCGAAACATGTTGATGTTGCGACAAGCTATGGTACCTTAGCTTCGATTTACCAGCATTTAGGTGACTTTGAGCAAGCCAAGGAGTATCAGCAACGTGCTTTAGACATCCAACTAAAGAAGCTAGGCTCGAAACATGTTAATGTTGCGACAAGCTATGGTAACTTAGCTTTGATTTACCAGCATTTAGGTGACTTTGAGCAAGCCAAGGAGTATCAGCAACGTGCTTTAGACATCCAACTAAAGAAGCTAGGCTCGAAACATGTTGATGTTGCGACAAGCTATGGTAACTTAGCTTCGATTTACCAGCATTTAGGTGACTTTGAGCAAGCCAAGGAGTATCAGCAACGTGCTTTAGACATCCAACTAAAGAAGCTAGGCTCGAAACATGTTAATGTTGCGACAAGCTATGGTAACTTAGCTTTGATTTACCAGCATTTAGGTGACTTTGAGCAAGCCAAGGAGTATCAGCAACGTGCTTTAGACATCCAACTAAAGAAGCTAGGCTCGAAACATGTTAATGTTGCGACAAGCTATGGTAACTTAGCTTTGATTTACCAGCATTTAGGTGACTTTGAGCAAGCCAAGGAGTATCAGCAACGTGCTTTAGACATCCAACTAAAGAAGCTAGGCTCGAAACATGTTGATGTTGCGACAAGCTATGGTACCTTAGCTTCGATTTACCAGCATTTAGGTGACTTTGAGCAAGTCAAGGAGTATCAGCAACGTGCTTTAGACATCCAACTAAAGAAGCTAGGCTCGAAACATGTTAATGTTGCGACAAGCTATGGTAACTTAGCTTTGATTTACCAGCATTTAGGTGACTTTGAGCAAGCCAAGGAGTATCAGCAACGTGCTTTAGACATCCAACTAAAGAAGCTAGGCTCGAAACATGTTGATGTTGCGACAAGCTATGGTACCTTAGCTTCGATTTACCAGCATTTAGGTGACTTTGAGCAAGTCAAGGAGTATCAGCAACGTGCTTTAGACATCCAACTAAAGAAGCTAGGCTCGAAACATGTTAATGTTGCGACAAGCTATGGTAACTTAGCTTCGATTTACCAGTATTTAGGTGACTTTGAGCAAGCCAAGGAGTATCAGCAACGTGCTCTGGACATGAAACTGGACAAACTCGGCCCGGAACATGTTAATGTTGCAACAAGCTATCATAACTTAGCTTTGATTTACCAGGATTTAGGTGACTTTGAGCAAGCCAAGGAGTATCAGCAACGTGCTCTGGCCATTAGAGCAGACAAGCACTGGCTCAACAAAACACCAAATAAGGTACATGAAGGACTGCTAACAGACGCAAAAAACTTTATTATGGAAATTATATTTCTTCTAGATAGATTTTACGCAGTCTTTAAGGTTTATCGCGTTGGTGTTGTGTTAAAGTTTAAAAGGCTGAAGTTTTCAGGTTTTTTTTACAGCAGCATAAGTTGCGTCTTAAATTGCGAGGATCGTCTTTGCATTTTTTCTTCCGCAGTTCCAATATATGAAATTCATGTAATCTTTATAAATAATTTTAATTTGATAAACTCCAAAACGTTTTACATATATTAATCATGGAATAGATGTTTGGGACGTTGGTAAGAGATCTCTTAATTCAGGTTTGACTGTAACAGTTCCTTTTTACACTCTATTTCTGCTTTCCGTATCTTCAAGTTTCTTCTGATGAAAAAAACCCGTTAGTCCTTGCAGATTACTCATGAAGCTGAAAGGCATTTATCACAATCCAACAAAGAAGATGATGACGATGAGGATGATGATAAAGGCAGTAGTAAGGAAGGTAAAGCAAAAATCATTGTTAAGTTAAAAATGTCTCCTCCTGCTAACTTTAATGATTTTAATCAAGGGTGCGTTCCTTTAGAAAAAATCCGATAAGGTTTAATCGTTGCACAATCTCACAGTCTTTGGACTTGGTGCGACAAAAGGAACGTGAGTAAAACCCGGAGGTTTATTCTTCAGCGTTCCAAAAATATTTGTGTGAAACGCCTGCAATAACGTAGAATGCTCGACAGGTGTAATTTTTTTTTGGACCCATACCCAAACAGACTCATTAATTGTGAATCCATAAATGCGGATTTAGATTTAATCTATCACGAAATCTATTGGGAGTGTGTTTTTAGTTTTAGTAAAGAAAGGCAAAATTCGCGTTTGGACGATTGTCTTAAAGAAAAGGGTTCTAAGTCAAAAGTCAGCTACATTCAAAAAGACATTTGAAGGAAAACACAATTTCGGATTTTGGGTTGCTTATTCAAACAAATTACAGATTGAGTTCAACACCGCGATTTATTAAGCTATTTTCAGTTTTGTAAACCCTAGATCCAAACATTGTTTGCCACTTATGGTATCAAGGAGGCTTACAGCCCTGGCCGTTGAAAACCATTTATCAACTTAAAATAAACGAGTTCAAAACGTATTAGATGTTCCACTCGGATCCGAGATACAAAACATTAAGTGCAGTTACTCTAGACCTTTCCCCCAAAGCTCTTATTGCGGAAATAGCTTAAGTTGGGTTCACACTGGGTAATTGATGACTTTCATGTTTGCGGTTACACAGTGATAAAATTGCCCAAAGGGAAGAAAATTTAGAACCAAGTTTTGAGGTAAACGTTGTTGTAAAAATTGAGGTCTCAGAGAATCGTATTAATGAAACCCGAGCCACATCAATTTAAGGGTAGCAAGAGCGATTCAGCCTTTAATTTTGAGACTAAAAAGGAAGAGGCTGACTTTATTTTTTTTAAAAGAAAGGCAAATTCTCACTCAGAAGTCAACAGTACAGGTTTACAAATTGTTTGGAACGACCTCATAAGGAAATAATTCTTCAAAACATGTAAAGAAAACTTAGGAGTGTTTCAAGGTGCCTTTGAATTTATTAAGTGTAAAATACAGAAAAAAAAAAGGAGCGCTCAAAATCCTGCTTTATAAGGTTTCGAACATTGAGCCCAGTTGTTCGCGTTGGCGCCATGACGAACTCAGCACGCATACAACACGTGATTTCTCCTTTTTGGTACGTTTCAATCTAGCTCTTGTGATTGGTTGAGCCGTTTTAGGTACCTTGGGAACAGTCAATGGGTAATTCAACTTCACCTTGGGAAAATCGGTCACACGCAAGAAGTTGCTTCCCCGTGGGCAACAGCCATTTGCCCATGGATAAAATGGGTAGTGTAGCCGCACCTATTTTTAGGTCGCACTAAAAGGATATGTATTGGTCAACGTTTGACTTTCCTCGTGTCTTCTGCTTTAGAAACTGAAATACTTATTCTTTTCACAGACAAAAGAGCTAAGAGAGACAAACACAATGTTGGAAAAAAGGCTAAGAAAGCGGGTTCAGGTGCTGATAGTGATGTGTCATCTGAGGGAGATGGTTACTTGGATTCAAACGAAGAGGATCACAGATCGGACAGCTTTACATCTTTCGATGGTGAGATACTTTGACCTTTTAATCCCCAATATCTGTCTTTTCCCCCTCAAACATTAGGGAGCTTAAGCGAAGACGTTTTTGAGCAACGCACGTCAACTGGAATTAAGGCCTTTTCTCTTTTAATATGCCTTGATGCTTATAACAAATTTGTATTGCTAAATTTCTTTACTCTGAAAGAGACGATCTGCGCGAAAATTTGGCACAACCACTGCCCAAGAATTCGGGCAAACAGTTCACCTCCGGTTGATGTGCATCGCTCAAAAACGCCTTTGCTTACCTTAAATGATTGATTAAGCGCGGCTACTCGAATAAGCGCCGCACCTTTGCGGAAAATAATTTATTTAGTGCCGCTCTCAAATTCTGAACCGCGGCGCTAATTTGGGTGTTAACAGATTAACGCCCCGCCTTGTTAGATATCAAAACCATATCATCAGAGAAGTAAGACCTCGATCAACTCGTGAGTTCTAAAGTTTTAATGTAGAGAAACTCTTAAAACCGGGTTCATATAGCAGCTCTGAGTTCGCGGTGTACATATTTCATTTTAAATTGTGCATACCTAGTACGCGCCTCACATAAGTTTCTCTATATTCCCTTCAGTGATTTACCCGTAGTTGAAATAAGCGCCGCTCTCGAATAAGCGCCGTTCTCGTATAAGCGCGGCACCTATAACTGGGAAAATGAAATAAGCGCCGCAATCGATCATTTGCGGTATGCTCCCTAATTTGTTTAAAGGGAGTGGTTAGCTATACACAGGCTACAGTGCTCCAGTTGCATCACCTCGCCTGTCGTTTTTTTCTGCCTCTACTGTGCCTCTTCAGTTCTCTTTTTAAGCCTTTTCGCTACTTTCTTCTCGCCTGCTTTCATCCCTGCGTCACCATCATGTGTAACAGCTTTAGTTATATTAGCCAAACGAGAAGCAGGAAATATTAAAGTTAATTACTATTCATTCAAAATATTTCCCCGATTCTGATTAGCTAAAAGCACACGTTTAATTCACCATAACCAGTGATGACCAAATTTGGAAGAATTTTTGTTTAGCGAGGAAATAACGTCAAAAATGCAGCGTTCTTGCAGGTTAATGCACCGTTAACCGAGAAGACCTGGGGACGAGGTTGAGTCGTTTTGGTTGTGAACTTGAAAAATGGCGGACATTTCACCCGTTTCAAGAGTAAGAACTAGGCGAAAAAATAGCTAAAAACATCGCAAGAACAGCAAGAAGACAACTCAAAGGGCGACATCTGTTATTTGGAGAATATTTGCGGAGCTGAACAACCTTAAACGTCCACTATCGAAGATGAACTTAACATCGATGGATCGGTGGAGGTAAGCATGTGTTAGCCATGTTTTTAAACTAGGAATTAGTTTGAATGAATAACAAAACAATTATTGAATTCGGCTTTCGTATGATATGTAGAATTATGGAGATCTCGGAGGGTGTTATCCGCCTCGGCCTACGGCCTCGACGGATAACACCCTCCTCGATCTCCATAATAGACCTTGTCACGGTTTTCGACGCCATCTTGACGAGTATGCAAACCCGTGAGAAATTACAGTGTTTGTATGAGAATCTAATGTCGAATAATTTCCGTAAAACAGCTGTTTTAAAAAATATATGAACCGTAAACTAAAGCTTCACTCTTAAGGATTCTACTGAAAAAATTTTAGGGCGTTGCATGCGCTAGAAGACCTAGAACCTTTTTTAAAAATTTTCTATACATTTGTCTATAAAAATTTCCCGGGAAAAATTGCAGACAAATATATGGAAAATCTAAAGCAAGCTTCTGGAGAAATTTAAGCAGAGTAACGGCCCCCAAAATTTGTTGGTAAAATCCTTTGCTGTGTAGCTTTAGTTTACAATACATATTTTTCCAGAACAGCCTTTTTAGGGAAATTATGCGACATTGGATTCTCATACAAACACTGTAATTTCTCACGCGTTTGCCTACTCGTCAAGATGGCGTCGAAAACCGTGACAAGGTCTATTCTTCATAACATACTCAGCCTCATTCATTAATTGTTAATTATTATTATTATTATCATCATCATCATCATCATCATCATCATCATCATCATCATCATCATCATCATCATCATCATCATCATCATCATCACTACTTGTGTAACGTGGTCTTGAATTGTTCACTTGTTTGCTCTATATGGGTGTATGTCATTGCTTTCTTTGCAACGTTACAATTTACCACAGTACTTCTTTGATGCTCTGATCATTATCGTCATCTTCATCATCATCATCATCATCATCTCATAAGGATCACGGTAAAGCTAAATGTTATGAGCCAAAATGTACGTTTCTAAGTAAAACCTCCATTTTCTAAATTGGGTCATTTGACTTTGAGCGTGCCCTGATGACATCACAGCCAGACTTGGCATCAAACTATCCAAATTTTGTCACATATAAGGAGGCGCATTTTTTTCAGTTACAGCTTGAAGACTTTTTCCTAGCAAATATAAACCAGGGGTACCTTCCGGCAAGTGCCAACGAGGCGAATTCGATTACCTTTTGTGGGCGTTTAAGGATTTTTTTCTGCTAAAAGTTGTAAAAATAAATCACTTTACTTCTCCGCTTGCTATTATTTGTCAATCAAGGGGTGCCTTTTAGGAAGATTCCGATAAGGTTCGATGCTTAATCTTTGAGTCTTTGATTTTCGTAAAGAAACGCAAAATGTGCTTTTGAATGCTCTAAAAGAAATGTACCTTAAGTCAGCTAAAGCCAACAAGGAATATTTAGGGAAACACATTATGATTTTGGGTCGCTTATAATTAGTGGTTCGTCGCATATTTTCCTGATTGTTCGTGAATGGGAACACCTGAAATAGGCTCAGTAGAAAACATGGAAAAAGGCCGGGTTGCAGTTTGCGGACGTTTGGCATAGAAAAGGCAGAATATGCGATTGGGGTCTAAAGTATATGCTCTCCACAGAAAATTTTCGGAAGCTATTTCTTCAGATAAACCAATCTTGTGCAACTCTCATTTATTTTATCCAATCGAAAGTTTCTTTAAAAAAAAATTGGGTTAACATCTTGTTCCTCTTCTTGTCCCTTGCGAGTTACACCCATTAAACGGTGCTTGGTGCGGTTTAAGATGCCATAGTAAAAATAATATTTTTGATCATCTTGACTTGTATTAGCTTCTACATGATGTCAACTTTTTTCGTTTTTTAAAGGTAAGAAGAAGAGAGAGAAGAAGGCTAGAATTGGCTCCAATCGCTCTGCTGTTTGTACATGTCAGTAATATATGAAGTTCTCCGAATATGCGTTAGATCGAGATAATGCGGCTGCATTTATGGAAGAACCTGTGACATTTTGGGACATTCCCACTGGGCTTCGAATTTTGCCTTCGATCTGTTCTCTGGCTGAAATGATGTGACAAGAATCTTAGACAGCAATATTGCCATGTATTTAGATCCTGAAGGGTTGACTACTACTCAGGGTAAATAGCTTCATGAGGTCCTTTTAAGGGGCTGTGTCACGGCAGTCCAGTTCATTTTGTTTAATTTTGCCAATTGCTCGCCCTCAATCGCCGTGGAACTTAAAGTAAACAAAGAAATTCCATAGAAATGACAAAATCAGAGATTCGAGACAAACAAATATGTCGCCTGAGCATTATTTTTGAAGTTGCAAACGCCAGAGATCAACTTTGAAAAACTGTACATGTTAGGCTGAACAGTTTTCAGAAACCCTAATTTCAATCCGTTTCAATCTTCTTCAGTTTTGCCCATCCGTGGCATCTGTTGTATCTGTTGTGTTATTTTAACCTTCCTTTAATGTTTTAAGCGGTTATTTTTATGTTTCTCTTAATTTAACGGGCATTTTTTAATTGGCTGAATTTCGTGACACAGCTCCTTTAAGTAATCAAATCAATACTCATAGGAACTGATGCTATCGTTTAGTTTTTTTTTCTTTTTTGTAAAATTTAATGACCACGGCTTTGCTACCAGACACTCCTAAAACAAGATTATTACCAATCTACTGTGGTAAGAAGCTTTAAAATAAAGAACAGCGTTAGGAAGTATGTTAACTCTTCCTACTCTTACTCTATATGTTTTCCAAGACCCAAACTCTTCAAACGACTTTTCAAAATAGGGTAGAAATGTAATGTAAGCGGCGCTATAAATTTTTTATCTGTTCGGTCGTTCTAGGGGAACTTGGGTCTTTTCGAAATTACAAGGGCTTCGGTGTTACTTTCCCGAAACTTTTTTATATGTAATTCAACTGAACGTATTGCGAAAGTGAGGATTTTCTGATTCCCCTCTCTATCACATTTTCGAATCCGAAAGTTTTAGGTTTCCTCTAATAGCCTAACCTGGGCAGTGAAATGTGAAAATTAAACTTCAGAATATCGTAGGGAGTTTATTAGATAAGCGTCGAACAGTGACTTCTACTGTGCCGATCAATTCAGCAACACACAAAGAAATGTTTTGCATGTGTTATGATGTGTGGATCAATTTATAGGTAATACAGTCGAGGCTCTCCTTGCGACCACTCTCGTAAGTGACCACGCAGCTCTATGGCCACATTAATTTGTGAAACCGTGTTTGAACTGTGATGGCTTGCCTCCTTTTAGCAATTATTTTAATAAAAGGTGATAAAGTTGATTTCTTGTGTCTTAAGATACGTGTCTGGTTTTATTGCGAGAATCAATTTATTAGTAGCGGGTTTGAATTGATCCTTGTTAAGTTATTAATTGTTTTTCTTTCTGTGTTTTTATAATGCGTCAAGTTTCTCCCTTCAGGGCCCGCGGAGTAGTTTTTAAAGTGCGGGGGCCGGTAACCAACTCTTTTGAAGTGGTGGAGGGGCAATTTGGCTGTTCTCTCTTTGTGGCTGTTTAGAACTTTTAGATTACTGAACCTTTCTTGAGTCATTGTTGAGCGGAGTCATGCTGATAAATTTCAAGCAGCTGAAAAGTATCTTTCTCCTGCTGAGCCTGATTGTATATGCTGGATCCACCACTGGAAGTTTGCAGGTCATGATATTACACTGTAGGTTCCTAGCTGTAA